AGAAACCATTTAAGGATTGGGCAGACGTGAGAGAAAGGATAACGAGAAGATTTGGTGGAAGGAAGCTGGGCTCACCTTTCGACAGACTACTGTCATTGAGACAAACAGGTACGGTAGAAAAATACTACAGGTACGGTAGAAGAATACTTGTGTGAGTTTGAAGAATTATTAGCTCAGGTACCTCATACTCCTGAAGAAATGGTAGAAAGTACATTCAAAAATGGATTGAAACCAGAGATATTGGAGATATTACAGATTTTTCGACCTAAAGGCATGGAAGAAATAGTAGATGTGGCACTGAGTATCGAAGGCAGCAAGCTAAGTGCGGTATGTGGAGGAAAAGGAGGAAGTGATGGAAAGAACTGGAAGACGGGATATACAGGCTCATCATTCAGAACAGTTTCAGTACCTACTGAAAACCAGAAATACCAGAACCAATCATACAGGAGCAATTTTCAAGAAAGAGGAAGACAGATCAATGGAGGAAAAGGACCAAAAGAGGAGGGTGGAGTTCAAGAAAAGAAATCAACATTCAAAAGAATGTCTGATGCTGAATTTGAAGAGAAAAGGAAGAAGGGATTATGTTTCAGGTGTGATGAGAAGTTCTTTGTGGGACACAGATGCAAACAGAAGGAGTTACAAGTGATTTTGGCTGAGGAAATAACAGAAACAGGGGAGGAACTGGAGGAAGAGCAGGATAAGGAAGCAGGAAACAGAGAGGACGAGGGAGAGTTTGCTGAGCTATCACTCAACTTAGTAGTGGGGTTAACTTCACCAAAAACACTGAAGATCCGAGGATCAATAGAAGACCAGGAAGTAGTTGTGTTGATTGACAGTGGAGCCACTCATAACTTCATATCCTTGAAGTTAATGAAGAAGCTGAAATTAAGACCTGAAGGTAACACTCAATTTGGAGTATCTTTGGGAACAGGTATGAAGGTAAAAGGAAAAGGGATTTGTAAGGCAGTACATTTACAATTACAGCAGATAGAAGTGGTAGAAGATTTCTTACCACTGGAATTAGGAAGTGCTGATTTGATTTTGGGAGTGCAGTGGTTACAGAAGCTGGGAAAAGTTCAGATGGATTTTCAGGATCTGGAGTTGAAGTTCAACCAAGGCACATCATGGGTTACAGTAACAGGTGATCCTACTCTACATAGTTCATTAGTAACCCTGAGATCATTGATCAAATCAGTTTGTGATGGAGATCAGAGCTACTTAGTTAAGCTGGAAACATTAGAAGAGCAAGTGGGGGTTGATTCAAATCTTCCGGAGAAGTTACAGGCAATGCTGGAAGAGTTTGGGCCAGTGTTTGAAATCCCTACTGAATTACCACCAGAAAGGGGTAGAGAGCATCCAATTAATCTCAAAGAAGGAACAGGTCCTGTAAGTGTCAGACCTTATAGATACCCCCATGCACACAAAGAAGAGATTGAGAAACTAGTGAAGGATATGCTGAAGGCAGGCATAGTGAGACCGAGCCAGAGTCCTTTTTCAAGTCCAGTATTACTAGTTAAAAAGAAAGATGGTAGCTGGAGGTTTTGCATCGATTACAGGGCACTGAACAAGGTCACAGTGTTGGACAAATTCCCTATACCAATGATAGACCAATTGTTGGATGAATTACATGGAGCAAGGGTGTTTTCAAAGTTGGATTTGAGATCAGGGTACCATCAGATCAGAATGAAGACAGAGGACATTCCCAAGACAGCATTCAGAACACATGATGGACACTATGAGTTTTTAGTAATGCCTTTTGGCCTTACTAATGCTCCAGCAACATTCCAAGCATTAATGAATGAGATTTTCAGACCTTACCTAAGGAAGTTTGTGTTAGTATTTTTTGATGACATTCTGGTATACAGCTGCTCACTACAGGATCATGCAACACATCTACGGACGGTGCTAGCTGTATTACAGAAACACAAGCTATACGCTAACAAAAAGAAGTGTGAATTTGGAAGACAACAGATAGATTATCTGGGGCATATAATTTCTCGAGAGGGTGTATCTACAGACCCAGCTAAGACAGCAGCAATGCAAAAATGGCCAACCCCAAGCAATGTGAAGGAATTAAGAGGATTTCTGGGGCTGACAGGATATTACATACGCTTTGTACAGAACTATGGCACCATAGCCCGTCCCTTGACAGATCTACTAAAGAAAGATGGGTTTAATTGGTCTGAAGATGCTTCGAGTGCATTTAGGAAACTAAAACAGGCTATGACATCTGCTCCAGTTCTGGGACTACCAGATTTTCGTGAAGATTTTGTGGTTGAAACGGATGCCTCGGGATTTGGCATCGGAGCAGTCCTAATGCAGAAGCATAGGCCAATTGCCTTCTTTAGTCAGGCTCTGTCTGAAAGGGAGAGATTGAAACCAGTATATGAGAGGGAATTAATGGCAGTGGTTCTCTCTATCCAACGTTGGAGACACTACCTATTGGGTAGAAGTTTTCTGGTTTGCACAGACCAGAAAGCCTTAAAATTCTTACTGGAACAACGCGAGGTGAGTATGGAATACCAACGTTGGTTGACTAAACTACTGGGATATGATTTTCAAATTGTTTATAGGCCAGGAGTGGAGAATAAGGCAGCTGATGGCCTGTCCAGAATGCCACACAACACGATTCTGGAATCAACATGTATGGGGTTAGCCATAACTATCCCGAGAAATATACAACTGGTGGAGGTAGAGAAAGAAATTGGGGAAGACAGTGATCTGAAGGAGATCGTCAGCAAGCTGAAGGATGGAGAAACCAAAGTGGGAAAGTATCATTTGCTACAAGGCATGCTGAGATATAAAAACAGGTTAGTAGTTTCCAAACATTCAAGTTTCATTCCTACAATTCTGGCTGAGTTCCATGACAGTAAGATGGGAGGGCATTCAGGGGTATTGAGAACATTAAAAAGGATACAGGAGTTGTTTCATTGGGTAGGAATGAAAGCTGATATTAAGAAATATGTAGCTGAATGTGCTGTCTGTCAAAGCCAAAAGTATTCAACTTTGGCTCCAGCAGGTCTCTTGCAACCATTACCGATTCCAGAACACATTTGGGAGGACATTTCAATGGATTTCATTGAGGGCTTACCAAGATCAGCAGGTTATAATGTAGTACTGGTAGTAGTTGACAGATTGAGCAAATATGCTCACTTCATAGCCTTAAAACATCCGTTTACAGCTATGGTGGTTGCTAAGGTTTTTGTACAGGAGGTAGTCAGGCTACATGGGTTTCCAAAATCCATAGTATCAGACAGAGACAAGGTATTCCTCAGCAATTTTTGGTCGGAATTATTTCGGATAGCAGGCACCAAATTAAAGTTTAGTACAGCCTATCATCCACAAACAGATGGACAGACAGAGGTATTAAACAGATGCTTGGAGACATATTTGAGGTGTTATGCTAATGATCATCCCAGGAAATGGATTCAATTTCTGAGTTGGGCAGAGTTTTGGTACAACACTTCTTTCCACACAGCATTACAATCCACACCATTTCAGATTGTGTATGGAAGAGAACCACCTACATTACTGAAGTATGAGGAGGGATCTACTTCTAATTTTGAACTGGAAAAAGCACTAAGGGAAAGGGATAGAATGATATTGGAGATCAAGCAGAAACTTCAAGCAGCTCAACAGAGAATGAAAGTATCAGCTGATAAAGGGAGGCGAGATCTGACATTGACAGTAGGGGAGTGGGTTTATTTGAAAATCAGACCATACAGGCAGAACACTCTGGCAGCAAGGAGTAATCAGAAGCTAGCTGCTCGATATTATGGCCCTTTTCAAATAGAAAGCAGGATGGGAGAGGTAGCATATAAACTAAAGTTACCTAAGGGGTGCAACATTCATCCTGTATTTCATATTTCACAGCTTAAAAAGGCTTTGGGAGGTAACATCCAACCAAACCAATTACCAAGGCAGTTGACAAGAGATCTGGAACTACAAGTTCAGCCGAAAGACATCAAGGATTCCAGGTATACTAAAGAGGGTCGGTTGGAAGTTTTGGTTGAATGGCAGGATTTACCAGAACATGAGAGTACATGGGAAGTGGCTGAAGATTTCAACAAGCAATTTCCTAGTTTTCAGCTTGAGGACAAGCTGAGACAGAAAGGGGGGAGTATTGATAAGTATTTCAGGGTTTACGTCAGAGGCAGGAAGAGAGGAAAAGAAGCAGTAAATGGTGAAGATCAAGAGGAAGGAGCGGAAGAAGTGGCTGAAGAAGGAGCTGGAGGGACAAGAGAGGAGAGCTGAAGTAAGAAGGAACAGCTGAAGAAAAAGGTACGCTGCTATTAGATTTGTTTGTTTGTGTATAAGGATAGTATATGTTGACTGTGTTTGTTGCATAGTTGGTTAGTAGTTGTGAATGAACAGCTGTATTGTTTGTTATAGTTAGGAATATGGTTAGCTGTTAGTAATTCTGTTAGGATGGGATTGTATAAATAGTGTAGAGAAGGGATTGAAGGGTTTAGGCAATTTCTAGTACAGAATTGTAAGGGGAAGAGAGTGGGGACCTCTCTCAAATCAAAGTCATCCAACGTGTACCTGTTTTCGGTGATCAATAAAGCTGGGCAGTTCTTCTCCAGCTGAGGAATCCGAGGTCTGAACCATAACAGAAAGCCACAAAAACCAATGGACAACGTAGAAACAAGCGAGATGAGGTGTCCAACTACAATAATAAGTATTAAATCCAAGAAATAAAATAAGTGTGTATTGAGAAAGATGAGACCCACGATGAGAAAAACTACATCAGAGAAAAGATAGCCATGACATAGAAAACAGACGAAGACATTAATAAACATGCAATCATAAGAAATTGACTAAGACATAGCTAAAGAAACCACACACAATATAAATTGCTAAGTTACTCATTGGTCACTTCATATAATTACCGATGGATACACGATGGTCATTCACGACCATAGCAAGTTCAAAGAAAATTAATGCAAACCAAGTAACTCATGAAAAATAAGAATTCAAACAAATTTCGAAATTCGTACCTCTTGAGATCTTTAAAACCTCATCGGCTGCTATATGGTTGTCTTCTCCGACCCATTTTTCAGCCTCAACCTGAAAATACAGTTTTCTAGATTGTCCTTATCCCCTAATTCTAGGGATTAGAAAGGAAATTCAAGGTTTTTTCTGGTTGATATCTTTAAATACGAAGGAAAAAATCTATAAAAAAGACAAATATTACTTTGGTTGATATCTTAAATTGCCTTAGGGATTGAAGAGAAGATCAGACCAAATCAAACTGAACTAAGCACACAGATTTCAAATCCTCTTACCTTTTCAAGGAAAATCTAGCAAATGTTAACTGCAATACTATTTAAGAGAATGATTCATGGTCATGGGCTTAGGTACACAGAGGACTACAAGATCCTTGACCAATGTGAGAAGGATACCCCCTTAACGTCCTGAAATTCTCAGAGATATATGACAATATTCATTTTAACTTTCAAAATTCAAGGGATAAATGTCTCACAAAAAAAAAAATGAGGCCTAGACCTTAAGAATGTGAGGTATGAAAACGTACCTGAAGTAACCCTTAGCTTGATAAGGTCACTGAGACAAAATATAACCTAGAAAACGAGAATTTGAGCTTAATTTAAAAATTCGACAGCAGGTGATGACCCATACCTCTTGAGATCTCCCGAAGCTGATCGACAGCGACCCGATTGTCTTCTCCTGCCATTATCTAGTACGGTCCTTGGGCTATGCTTCGGAAGCCTAAGCATGAAAATCCGGCACTCAAGATCATCCTAATGTAGAGAAGGTCAGACCAAATCAAACTGAATTAAACACATAGATTTCATATCCAATTACTTTTTCAAGGAAAATCTAGCAAATGATGACTGCAAGTTTAACTAGGAGAATGACTCATGGGTGTAGGGTACTCAGAGGACTACCAGATCCTTGACCAACAAGAGATGGATATCCGCTTGATATCTTGAAATTCTCGTAGCTTTATGAGAACACAACAAGAGTTTATTAAGAAAGATGGGACCCACTGAGAAAAACTAGATCGGCAGAGAAGATAGACATGACATAGAAAACAGACGAAGAGATTAATAAATGCATGGATCATATGAAATTGACTAAGACATAGCAAATGAAACTATGCAAATTGCCAAGTTACTCATTGATAACTTAATATAATTACCAATGCTTACACAATCTAACCTATTTACCATGTTGGTCATTCATGTCCATAGAAAGTTCAAAGATCATTAATGCAAACCAAGCAACTCATGAAGAATAAGAATTCAAACAAATTTCGAAATTCGTACCTCTTCAGATCTTTCAAACCAGATCAGAACTAAAATTTACATACTTCAATTCTCCGAAAAGTAACCCCCATTTTTCAACCATTTACCTGTCATCTGTGAATGAATAAAAAGGTCCACGCTTTTATTGTTCCCAATAAAACAAAAGCATTGCCCGACCAATTAAGATCATCAAAAAGAAGAAAACAGAAAAATTGACACAAAAAGAAGCCCTCGACATTAGCTTTATTCCATCAAATCATGTAGATTCAGAGACTAACCTTCGGAATCAGCCTTTGGCTTGTCGTCAGGGTTGATATTCCACCTCGAACAAAGGTCTTAGATGTCTAGAAACGAATCAAACAATCAAATATAAACTATTTCTTTCATTGTAATGTATGAGATAGAAGAATGCTTTGTACGTAAGTTTATCCGATTAGTGTAACCCTAAAACAACAGAAACCTATCACAAACCATCCCACATGCACAACTATTCTGCAAGCTAAAGGAGACACAATCCAAAACCCAACATATAACATGACAGCACAATCTTCATGACATAGAAAAACCAACCAACCCCGATTTATCTTGAAATGGACAAAAAAACTCTTAATTTTTACCATCAAAATCAGTCGCCTTCAAGAAAATCCCGAAATTTTCTCATCGACGCACAAACAAAAGTAAGAGAAAAATCTATACAGCAGAAAAGACAAACCTGTTGGCACCACTTGATGAGCAAATTGAGATGAAGAATTCGCTGGTTGGTCTTGATGATGTACATGAAGAGGCTCTTGTCCATACCCGACACCTCCACCGACTTGGAATTCTCCATGGGTTCCTCTGCAGCTTGACTGACCATAGAGGATGTTGCCCTAATTCCGTCGCCATGGCGTTCTCTCATTTCTTGTTCACGTTCTAGCTCCTCCACGAAGTGATCTATGTTTCGAATCTTGCCCTTTTCTATCTCCTTTGGACTCTCTCCATCCCTCAAGAAAAACCAACCAAGTAGATCGAAACTAAAACTATCACAAACCAGAAAAAAATAGGAACCATACACAGAGAAATTTCCACGGACGACAGTCCTCGGGTTCTTTACCAATAAATACCTTAGTTGGAGAAAGGAAAGAAGAACATACCTGCAGAGATTACTCGGAAGATAACCTTTTCTATATCACAAGAAGCCACGCATGGGTTTCAAAGAAACTCTTTAGAACCACAATTAACATCTCAACGTATACATTTCCAAAGAAAATCTTTGTTTTTCAAGCATCACATACACCGTACAAAAGGGAATTCTACTCTACTCTTATAAACCAAATATATCGCAATCTTTATATCATAATAAATATTAATGAAACATTTTTTGTTTATGACGAATCCACCAAAAATTGTTTGATAAAAAATGCTAAATTTACCTACTTCCCTTCTTTGAAACGAAACCCCCATATTACAAACCCTTAATTTTTTTTTATCAAAGTCAGTCGGCTTCAAGAAAATCCTGAAATTTTCTCATCAACGCACAAACAAAAGTAAAAGAACGAATCTATGCAGCAGAAAAGACGAACCTGTTGGCACCACTTGGTGAGCACATTGAGACGAAGAATTCGCATCTGAACATACCTGCATGGCCTTCAATGAAACTCTAGAACCATAATTAGCATCTGAACGTATACATTTCCAAAGAAACTCTTTCACATGCACCATACAAAAGGGAATTCTACTCTACTGTTATAAACCAAATATATCGCAATCTTTTTATCATAGTCATATTAATGGAACTCTTTTTAATTATCATGCATCCACCAGAAATTACAACCACCGCAGGTGGGGTGACTCATACCTCTTGAGATCTCCCGAAGCTCGTCGATAGTGACCCGATTGTCTTCTCCCGGCCATTGTCTAGAACGGTGCTTGTGCTATGCTTTGGAAGCCTAAGCATGAAAATCTGGCTCTCAAGATCGTCCTAATGTAGAGAAAGTCAGACCGAATCAAACTCAATTAAACACATAGATTTCACATTCAGTTTCTTTTTCAAGGAAAATCTAGCAAATGTTGACTGCAAGCATAACCAGGAGAATGACTGAGAGGTTTAGGGCGCTCAGAGGAGAGGACTACCAGATCCTTGACAGTTTGATATCCTGAAATCTCGTAGCTTTATTGAGAAAGATAGGACCTACTGTGAGAAAAAATAGATCGGCAGAGAAGATAGACATGACATATAAAAACAGACGAAAACATAAATAAACACGGATCATGTGAAATTGACCAAGACATAGCCAAAGAAACCACACACAATGCAAATTGATAGGTTACTCATTGGTCACTTCATATAATTACCGATGGAAACACGGTCCAGCCTGTTTACAATGTTGGCCATTCACTTCCATGGCAAGTACAAAGATCAATAATACAAACCAAGTAACTAATGAAAAATAAGCAATCAAACAAATTTTGAAATTTGTACCTATTGAGATGTTTCAAACCGGATTAGAACTAAAATTTACCCACTTCACTTCTTTGAAAGGTAACCCCCATCTTTCGACTATGTACCTCTCATCTAAGAATTCATAAAAAGGTCCACGCTTTTATCAATGTGTTCGCAATAAAACATAAACATTACCCTACCAATTAAGAACATCAAAAAGAAAATAGAACAATTGAAAGAAAAAGAAGTCCTCGACACTATTCGATAAAAATTGTTAAATTTACATACTTCCCTTCTTTGAAACAGAAACCCCCATATTTCGACATTTCACCTGCCATCCATGAATGTAAAAAAGAGATCCAAACAAACAACAAAAAGAACCAGTTAATACAGAGACAATAATATTCACATAGAAAATGATGAACTTACTGCATAGATATCACACCACGACGGTTGTAGGTAGTCCCATTTCCCTAGTTATGCCAGTCTCTCATTTCTTGTTCACGTTTCAGCCTCTCCATGAGATCTTTCAAACCAGATCAGAACTAAAATTTACCTACTTTACTTCTTTGAAATGTAACCCCCATCTTTCGACTATTTACCTTTCATCTGTGGATGCATAAAAAGGTCCACGCTTTTATCAACGTGTTCCAAATAAAACATAACAATTACCCAACCAATTAAGATGATCAATGAAATAAATAGAATTCCACTTCGAACAAAGGGCTCAGGTGTGGTGTCTTGTAGAAACGAATCCAACAATCAAACAGAAACTATCTATTTCATTGTAAGGTCTGAGACATAAGTTTACCAGATTAGCATAGCTCTAAACAACAGAAACCTATCAAAAACCATCCCCAAATGCACCCCTATTTTCCAAGATAAAGGAGACACAATAAAAAACCAAACATATTACATGACTGCACAATCTTCATGACATAGAAAAACCAACCAAACCCGTTTGAAATTGACAAACAAACCCTTAATTTTTACCATCAAAGTCAGTCTGCTTCAAGAAAAAACCCAAAATTTTCTCATCGACGCACAAACACAGGTAAAAAAACGAATCTATACAGCAGGAAAGACGAACCTGGTGGCATCACTTGGTGAGCACATTGAGACAGAGAATTCGCTGCTGGGTCTTGATGATGTACTTGAGGAGGCTCTTGTCCATACCTGACAGCTCCAAAGACTTGGAATTCTCCACGAGTTCAACTACAACTCGACTGACCATAGAGGATGTTGCCCTCGTTCCGTCGCCATGTCTTTCTATCATTTCTTGTTCACGTTCTAGCTCCTCCACGAAAAGATCTATGTTCCGAGTCTTCGCCTTTTCTGTCTCATTTGGACTCGCTCCTTCCCTCAAGAAAAACCAACCAATAAGATCGAAACAAAAACTATCACAAACCAGAGAAAATAGGAACCATACACGAAGCAATTTCCACAGACTACAGTCCTTCTCGGTTTCTTTACCCGCCGATACCTAAGTTGGAGAAAGGAAAGAATGAACATTCATGAGAAGACACGCATGGGTTTCAAAGAAACTCTAGAACAACAGTCAACATATACATTTCCAAATAAACTCTTTGTTTTTCAAGCATCACATTCCCCGCACAGAAGCGAATTCTACTCTACTTTTATAAACCAAATATATCGAAATATTTTTATCATAATCATATCAATGGAACTCTTTTTAATTATAATGCATCCACCAGAAATTATAACCACCGCGTGTTTATTCGAAAAAAATTATTAAATTTACCTTCTTCCCTTCTTTGAGCGGAAACCCCCATATTTCGACATTTCACCTGCCATCCGTGAGTGTAAAAAAAAAAAGATCCAAACAAACATCAAAAAGAACCACTTAGTACAGAGAATAATATTCACATAGAAAATGATGAACTTACTGCATAGATCTCACACCACGACAGTTCTAGGTCTTCCCATTTCCATGGTTATGCCAGTCTCTCACTTCTTGTTCTGATTTCAGCCCCTCCATGAGATCTTTCAAACTAGATCAGAACAAAAACTTACCTACTTTACTTCTTTGAAATATAACCCCCATCTTTCAACTATTTACCTTTCATCAGTGAATGCATAAAAAGGTCCACGCTTTTATCAATGTGTTCCAAATAAAACATAAACATTACCCTAACAGCAGAAACCTATCAAAAACCATCCCAAATGCACCCCTGTTCTGCAAGATCAAGGAGGCAAAATCAAAAACCCAACATATTACATGACTGCACAATCTTCATGACATAGAAAAACCAACCAAACCCTTTTTATCTTGAAATTGACAAACAAACCCTTAATTTTTACCATCAAAGTCAGTCTGCTTCAAGAAAAATCACAAATTTTCCTCATCGACGCATAAACACAGGTAATAGAACGAACCTATACAGCAGGAAAGACGAACCTCTTGTCCACACCTGGCAGCTCCAAAGACTTGGAATTCTCCACGAGTTCCTCTGCAACTCGACTGACCATAGAGGATGTTGCCCTAATCCCATCGCCATGTCTTTCTATCATTTCTTGTTCACGTTCTATCTCCTCCACGAAAAGATCTATGTTCCGAGTCTTGGCCTTTTCTGTCTCATTTGGACTCTCTCCTTCCTTCAAGAAAAACCAACCAATAAGATCGAAACAAAAACTATCACAAACCAGAGAAAATAGGAACCATACACGAAGCAATTTCCACAAACTACAGTCCCTCTCAGCTTCTTTACCCGTAGATACCTAAGTTGGAGAAAGGAAAGAATGAACATACCTGCAGAGATTACTGGGAAGATAACCCTCACGAGAAGACACGCATGGGTTTCAAAGAAACTCTAGAACAACAATTAGCATCTCAACATATACATTTCCAAATAAACTCTTTGTTTTTCAAGCATCACATTCACCGCACAAAAGCGAATTCTACTCTACTGTTATAAACCAAATATCTCAAAATATTTTATCATAATCATATTAATGGAACTCTTTTTAATTATAATGCATATACCAGAAATTATAACCACCGCATGGTTATTCGAAAAAAATTGTTAAATTTACCTACTTCCCTTCTTTGAAACGGAAACCCCCATGTTTCGACATTTCACATGCCATCCATGAACGTAAAAAAAAGATTCAAACAAACATAAAAAAGAACCAGTTAGTACACAGACAATAATATTCACATAGAAAATGATGAACTTACTGCATAGATATCATCACACCACGACAGTTCTAGCTAGTCCCATTTCCCTGGTTATGCCAGTCTCTCACTTCGTGTTGTCGTTTCAGCCCCTCCATGAGATCTTTCAAATCAGAACAGAATTCTCTTGTCCACACCTGACAGCTCCAAAGACTTGGAATTCTCCACGAGTTCCTCTGCAACTCGACTGACCATAGAGGATGTTACCCTAATTCCGTCGCCATGTCTTTCTATCATTTCTTGTTCACGTTCTAGGTCCTCCACGAAAAGATCTATGTTCCGAGTCTTGGCCTTTTCTGTCTCATTTGGATTCTCTCCTTCCCTCAAGACAAACCAACCAATAAGATCGAAACAAAAACTATCACAAACCAGAGAAAATAGGAATCATACACGAAGCAATTTCCACGGACTACAGTCCTTCTCGGTTTCTTTACCCGCAGATACCTAAGTTGGAGAAAGGAAATAATGAATATACATGCAGAGATGACCCGGAAGATAACCTTCACGAGAAGACACGCATGGGTTTCAAAGAAACTCTAGAACAACAATTAGCATCTACGTATGCATTTCCAAATAAACTCTTTGTTTTTCAAGCATCACATTTACCGCAGAAAAGCAAATTCTACTCTACTGTTATAAACTAAATATATCGAAATATTTTACTCATAATCATATTAATGGAACTCTTTTTAATTATAATGCATCCAACAGAAATTATAACCACCGCATAGTTATCCGAAAAAAATTGTTAAATTTACCTACTTCCCTTCGCTGAAACGGAAAAGCCCCATATTTCGACATTTCACCTGCCATCTGTGAATGTAAAAAAAAAGATCCAAACAAACATTAAAAAGAACCAGTTAGTACAGAGACAATAATATCCACAAAGAAAATGATGAACTTACTGCATAGATGTCACACAACGACGGTTGTAGGCTGTCCCATTTCCCTAGTTATGCCAGTCTATCATTTTCTGTTCACGTTTCAGCCCCCCATGAGATCGTTCAAACCAGATCAGAACTAAAAACTTACCTACTTTACTTCTTTGAAATATAAACCCCATCTTTCGACTAATTACCTTTCATCTGTGAATACATAAAAAGGACCACGCTTTTATCAATGTGTTCCAAATAAAACATAAACACTACCCTAACAATTAAGATCATTAAAAAGAAGAAAATAGAACAATTGACACAAAATGAGGCCCTCGACATTAGCTTTATTCCATCAAATCATGTGTATTCTGAGACCAACCTTCGAAATCAGTCTTGGGCTTGTCATCAGGGTTGAGAATTCCACTTCGAACAAAGGTCTCAGGTGTGGTGTCTTGTAGAAACGAATCCAACAATCAAACAGAAACTAACTTTTCATTGTAATGTCAGAGACGTAAGTTTATCTGATTACGGTGGCTCTAAACAACAGAAACCTATCAAAAACCATCCCAAATGCACCCCTATTATGCAAGATAAAGGAGAGACAATCAAAAACCCAACATATTACATGACTGCACAATCTTCATGACATAGAAAAACCTGCCAAACCCGATTTATCTTGAAATTGACAAACAAACCCTTAATTGTTTTCATCAGTCTGCTTCAAGAAAAATCCCAAAATGTTTTCACCGGCGCACAAACACAAGTAAAAAATCACAGCAGGCAAGACGAACCTGTTGGCACCACCTGGTGAGCAAATTGATACGAAGAATTCGCTGCTGGGTCTTGATGACGTACTTGAGGAGGCTCTTGTCAATACCAGACAACTCCACCAACTTGGACTTTCCACGAGTTCCCCTGCAACTCGACTGACCATAGAGGATGTTGCCCTAATTCCGTCGCCATGTCTTTCTATCATTTCTTGTTCACGTTCTAACTCCTCCACGAATCTATGTTCCGAATCTTGGCCTTTTCTGTCTCATTTGGACTCTCTCCGTCCCTCAAGAAAAACCAACCAATAAGATCGAAACAAAAACTATCACAAACCAAAGAAAATAGGAACCATACACGAAGCAATTTGCACAGGTTACAGACCTTCTCGGCTTCTTTCCCGTAGATACCTAAGTTGGAGAAAGGAAAGAATGAACATACCTGTAGATAATACTCGGAAGATAAACTCATGAGAAGACACGCATGTGTTTCAAAGAAACACTAGAATCACAGTTAGCATCTCAACGTATACATTTCCAGAAGGAACTCTTTGTTTTTCAGGTATCACATTCACCGTACAAAAGGGAATTCTACTCTTCTGTTATAAACCAAATATATCGCAATATTTTTGTCATTATCATATTAATGGAACTCTTTTTAATTATAATGCATCCAACAGAAATTATAACCACCGCATGGTTATTCGATAAAAATTGTTAAATTTACCAACTTCCCTTCTTTGAAAGGGAAAACCCCATATTTCGACATTTCACCTTCCATCCATGAATGTAAAAAAAAGGATCCAAACAAACAACAAAACAAACCAGTTAGTACAGAGACAATAATATTCACATAGAAAATGATAACTTACTGCATAGATATCACAGTTAGTACAGAGACAATAATATTCACATAGAAAATGATGAACTTACTACATAGATATCACACCACGACGGTTGTAGGCAGTCCCATTTCCCTAATTATGCCAGTCTCTCATTTCCTGTTCACGTTTCAGCCCCTCCATGAGATCTTTCAAACCAGATCAGAACTAAAACTTACCTACTTTACTTCTTTGAAATATAACCCCCATCTTTCGACAATTTACCTTTCATCTGTGAATTCATAAAAAGGTCCACGCTTTTATCAATGTGTTCCAAATAAAACATAAACATTACCCTACCAATTAAGATCATCAAAAAGAAGAAAAAAAGACAATTGACACAAAATGAGGCCCTCGACATTACCTTTATTCCATCAAATCATGTGTATTCTGATACTAACCTTCAAAATCTGTCTTGGACTGTCATCAGGGTTGAGAATTCCACTTCGAACAAAGGTCTCAAGTGTGGTATTTTGAAGAAACGAATCCAACAGTCAAACAGAAACCATTTTTTTCATTGTAATGTCTGAGACGTAAGTTTATCTGATTAGCGTAGCTCTAAACAACAGAAACCTATCAAAAACCATCCCAAATGCACCCCTATTATGCAAGATAAAGGAGACACAATCCAAAACCCAACATATTACATGACTGCACAATCTTCATGACATAGAAAAACAAACCAAACCCGATTTATCTTGAAATTGACAAACAAACCCTTAATTTTTACCATCAAAGTCAGTCTGCTTCAAGAAAAATCCCAAAATTTTCCCATTGACGCACAAACAAAAGTAAAAGAACGATTCTATAGAATCTATACAGCAGGAAAGACGAACCTGTTGGCACCACTTGGTGAGCACATTGAGACGAAGAATTCGCTGCTGGATCTTGATGATATACTTGAGGAGACTCTTGTTCCATTCCTGACAGCTCCACCGACTTGGAATTCTCCACGAGTTCCTCTGCAACTTGACTGACTATAGAGGATGTTTTCCTCTTTCTATCATTTCTTGTTAACGTTCTAGCTCCTCCACGAAATGATCTATGTTCCGAGTCTTGGCATTTTCTGTCTCATTTGGACTCTCTCCTTCCCTCAAGACAAACCAACCAAAAAGATCGAAACAAAAACTATCACAAACCAGAGAAAAATAGGAACCATGAACGAAGCAATTGCCACGGACTACAGTCCATCTCGGCTTCTTTAACCGTAGATATCTAAGTTGGAGAAAGGAAAGAATGAACATACCTGCAGAGATTACTCGGAAGATAACCTTCACGAGAAGACACACATGGGTTTCAAAGAAACTCTAGAACAACAACTAGCATCTCAACGTATACATTTCCAAATAAATTCTTTGTTTTTCAAGCATCACATTCACCATACAAAATGGAATTCTACTCCTGTTATAAACCAAATATATCGCAACATTTTTATCATAATCATATTAATGGAACTCTTTTTAATTATAATGCATTCAACAGAAATTATAACCACCGCATGGTTATTCGATAAAAATTGTTAAATTTACCAACTTCCCATCTTTGAAACGGAAACCCCCATACTTCGACATTTCACCTTCCATTCGTGAATGTAAAAAAAAGATCCAAACAAACAACAAAAAGAACCAGTTAGTACAGAGACAATAATATTCACATAGAAAATGATGAACTTACTGCATAACTTACTGCATAGGTATCACACCACGACAGTTGCAGACAGTCCCATTTCCCTAATTATGCCAGTCTCTCATTTGCTGTTCACGTTTCAGACCCTCCATGAGATCTTTCAAACCAGATCAGAACTAAAACTTACCTACATTACTTCTTTCAAATATAAACCCCATCTTTCGACTACTTACCTTTCATCTGTGAATTCATAAAAAGGTCCACGCTTTTATCAATGTGTTCCAAATAAAACATAAGCATTACCCTACCAATTAAGATCATCAAAAAGAAGAAAATTAATTGACAGAAAATGAGGCCCTCATTACCTTTATTCCATCAAATCATGTGTATTCTGAGACTAACCTTCAAAATCTGTCTTGGGCTGTCATCAGGGTTGAGAATTCCATTTCGAACAAAGGTCTCAAGTGTGGTGTTTTGAAAAAACGAATCCAACAGTCAAACAGAAACTATTTTTTTCATTGTAATGTTCTGAGACGTAAGTTTATCTGATTAGCGTAGCTCTAAACAATAGAAACCTATCAAAAACCATCCCAAACCCAAATGCACCACTATTATGCAAGATAAAGGAGACACTATCCAAAACCCAACATATTACATGACTGCACAATCTTCATGACATAGAAAAACAAACAAAACCCGATTTATCTTGAAATTGACAAACAAACCCATAATTTTTACCATCAAAGTAACGTTCTAGCTCCTCCACGAAATGATCTATGTTCCGAGTCTTGCCCTTTTCTGTCTCATTTGGACTCTCTCCTTCCCTCAAGAAAAACCAACCAAAAAGATCGAAACAAAAACTATCACAACCAGAGAAAAATAGGAACCATGAACGAAGCAATTTCCATGGACTACAGTCCATCTCGGCTTCTTTAACTGGAGATACCTAAGTTGGAGAAAGGAAAGAATGAACATACCTGCAGAGATTACTCGGAAGATAACCTTCAAGAAGACACGCATGGGTTTCAAAGAAACTCTAGAACAACAACTAGCATCTCAACGATACACATTTCCAAAAAAACTGTTTTTCAAGCATCACATTCACCGTACAAAAGGGAATTCTACTCTACTATTATAAACCAAATATATCTCAATATTTCTATCATAATCATATTAATGGAACACTTTTTAATTATAATGCATCCAGCAGAAACTGTAACCACCGCATGGTTATTGGATAAAAATTGTTAAATTTACCTACTTCCCTCCTTTGAAACGGAAACCCCACATTTCGACATTTCACCTGCCGTCCGTGACTGTAAAAAAAAAGATCCAAACAAACAACAAAAAGAACCAGTTAGTACAGAGAATAATATTCACATAGAAAATGATGAACTTACTGCATAGATATCACACCACGATGGTTGTAGGCAGTCCATTTCCCTAATTATGCCAGTCTCGCATTTGTTGTTCACGTTTCAGCCCCTCAATAAGATCTTTCAAACCAGATCAGAACTAAAACTTACCTACATTACTTCTTTGAAATATAAACCCCATCTTTCGACTATTTACCTTTCATCTGTGAATTCTTAAAAAGGTCCACGCTTTTATCAATGTGTTCCAAATAAAACATAAGCATTACCCTACCAATTAAGATCATCAAAAAGAAGAAAATAGGACAATTGACACAAAATGAGGCCCTCGACATTACCTTTATTCCATCAAATCATGTGTATTCTGAGACTAACGTTCAAAATCTGTCTTGGGCTGTCATCAGGGTTGAGAATTCCACTTCGAACAAAGGTCTCGTATAAACGAATCCAACAATCAAACAGAAACTATTTTTTTCATTGTAATGTCTGAGACGTAAGTTTATCTGATTAGTGTAGCCCTAAACAAAAGGAGCCGATTAAAAACTTTCCCAAATGCACCCCTATTCTGCAACATAAAGGAGAGAAAATCCAAAACCCAACATATAACATGACAGCACAAACTTCATGACACAGAAAAACCAACCAAACCCGATTTATCTTGAAATGGACAAACAAACCTCTAATTTTGACCATCAAAGTCAGTCGGCTTCAAGAAAATCCCAGAATTTTCTCATGACGCACAAACACAAGTAAAAGAACGAATCTATACAGCAGAAAAGACGAACCTGTTGGCACCACTTGGTGAGCACATTGCGACAAAGAATTCGCTGTTGGGCCTTGATGATGTACCTGAGGAGGCTCTTGTCCATAGATGACAGCTCCACCGACTTGGAATTCTCCACGAGTTCCTCTGCAACTCGACTGACCATAGAGAATGTTGCCCTAATTACGTCTCCATGTCTTTCTATCATTTCCTGTTCACGTTCTAGCTCCACCACAAAATGATCTATGTGCCGAGTCTTGGCCTTTTCTGTCTCAATTGGACTCTCTCCTTCCCTCAAGAAAAACCAACCAATAAGATTGAAACAAAGACTATCACAAACCAGAGAAAATAGGAAGCATACACGGAGCAATTTCCACGGACAGTACAGTCCTTCTCGGCTTCCTTACCCATAGATACCTAAGTTGGAGAAAGGAAAAAATGAACATACCTGCAGGGATTACTCGGAAGATACCTCAGGAGAAGACACGCATGGGTTTCAAAGAAATTCTAGAATCACAATTAGCATCTCAACGTATACATTTCCAAAGGAACTCTTTGTTTTTCAAGCATCACATTCAACGTACAGAAGGGAATTCTACTCTACTGTTATAAACCAAATATATTGCAATATTTTTATCATAATCATATTAATGGAACCCCTTTTAATTATAATGCATCCAGCAGAAATTACAACCACCGCATGGTTATTCGATAAAATTTGTTAAATTTACCAACTTCCCTTCTTTGAACTGGAAACCCCCACATTTCGACATTTCACCTGCCATCCGTGAGTGTAAAAAAAAAGAAGCAAACAAACATCAAAAAGAACCAGTTAGTACACAGACAATAATATTCGCATAGAAATTGATGAACTTACTGCATAGATATCACACCACGACAGTTCTAGTCCCATTTCCCTGGTTATGCCAGTCTCTCACTTCTTGTTCTCGTTTTAGCCCCTCCATGAGATCTTTCAAACCAGATCAGAACTAAAATTTACCTACTTTACTTCTTTGAAATATAACCCCCATCTTTCGACTATTTACCTTTCATCTGTGAATGCCTGAAAAGGTCCACGCTTTTATCAATGTGTTTTCCAATAAAACATAAACATTACCCTAACAATTAAGATCATCAAAAAGAAGAAAATAGAACAATTGACACAAAATGAGGCTACACGACACTAGCTTTATTCCATCAAATCATGTGGATTCTGAGACTAACCTTCAAAATCAGTGGGTTGAGAATTCCACTTCGAACAAGGGTCTCAGGTGTGGTGTCTAGTATAAATGAATCCAACAATCAAACAGAAACCATTTTCTTCATTGTAATGTCTGAGACATAAGTTTATCTGATTAGCGTAGCCCTAAACAACAGAATCCTATCAAAGACCTTCCCAAATGCACCCCTATTCTGCAAGATAAAGGAGACACAATCCAAAACCCAACATATAACATGACAGCACAATCTTCATGACATAGAAAAACCAACCAGACCCGATTTATCTTGAAATAGACAAACAAACCCTTAATTTTTACCATCAAAGTCAGTAGGCTTCAAGAAAATCCCAAAATTTTCTCAGTGATGCACAACACAAGTAAAAGTACGAATCTATACAGCAGAAAAGACGAACCTGTTGGCACCACTTGGTGAGCACATTGAGACGAAGAATTCGCTGCTGGGTCTTGATGATGTACTTGAGGAGACCCTTGTCCATATCTAACAGCTCCACCGACTAGAAATTGTCCATGGCGTTCTCTCATTTCTTGTTCACGTTCTAGCTCCTCCACAAAATGATCTATGTTCCGAGTCTTGCCCTTTTCTTTCTCATTTGGACTCTCTCCCTCCCTCAAGAAAAACCAACCAATAAGATTGTAAGTAAAACTACCACAAACCTGAAAAAAATAGGAACCATAAATGAAGCAATTTCCATGGACTACAGTCCTTATCGACTTCTTTATCCGTAGATACCTTAATTGGAGAAAGGAAAGAATGAACATACCTGCAGAGATTATTCGGAAGATAACCTTCTACATCACGAGAAGACACGCATGGGTTTCAAAAAAACTCTAGAATCACAATTAGCATCTTAACGTATAATTTTCCAAAGAAACTCTTTCTTTTTCAAGCATCACATGTACCATATAAAAGGGAATTCTACTCTACACGTACAAACCAAATATATCGCAATCTTTTCATCATTATCATATTAATGGAACTCTTTTTAATTATAATGCATCCACCAGAAATTATAACCACCGCATGATTATTGGATAAAAATTGATAAATTTACATACTTCCCTTCTTTGACATCTCACCTGCCATCCGTGAAAGCATAAAAAAGATCCAAACAGACAACAAAAAGGACCAGTTGGTACGGAGACAATAATATTCACATAGAAAATGATGAACTCACTGAATAGCTATGACACCACGACGGTCGCGAGAAGTCCAATTTCCCTGGTTATGCCAGTCTCTCATTTCTTGTTCACGGTTCAGCCCCTCCACGAAATGTTCAATAATCTGAATCTTGCCCTTTTTTTGTCTCCTTTGGACTCTCTTCCTCCATCTAGTAAAACCAAGCAGGCAGATCTGAACTAAAATTGTTACAAACCAGAAAAAATAGAAAATTCAACAACAGGCAATGACCCATACCTCTTGAGATCTCCCGAAGCTCATCGGTAGTCACCTGATTGTCTTCTCCAGCCCATTTCTTGGAAACTTCAGTAAATGTTAGATTTACCTCCTTCACTTCTTCGAAACGGAACCTCCATCTTTTGTCATTTCACATGTCATCCATGAATGAATAATAAGGTACATGCTTTTACTAATGTGTTCCTAATAAAACAGAAGCATTACTCTACCACTTCTGATAACCAAAAAGAACACTGAACAATTGACACAAACAGAAGCCCTCAACATTAGCTCTACTCCATCAAATCGTGGATTTTGAGACGAACCTTTGGAATCAGTCTTGTACTTGTCGTTAGGTAGTTCCACCTCGAACAAAAATCTTATCTGTCCTGCCTCCTAAAAACGATTCCAACAACCAAACAAAAACCATTTCGCGCATTGTAATATCACTCCACAAAAGCTACATGATTTGGTGTAACCCTAAAACAACAAAAACCTATCAAAAACCTTCCCAAGTGCATCACTTTTCTGTGAGCTAAAGAAGACACAATACAAGACCCAACATATAAATCTTCATGGTTTAGAAAAACCAACTAGAAGGCGAAAAATCTTGAAACAGACAAACAAACTCCTAATTTTCACCATCAAAGTCGGCTCCATGAAATGCCCAGAATTTTCTCATCGACGCACAAACAAAAAAGTAAAAGAACGCATCCATACAACAGAAAAGAAGAGCCTGTTTGCACCACCTGGCGATCACATTGAGACGAAGAATCCGCAGCTGGGTCTTGACGATGCACTTGAGTAGGCTAGTCTTCTTGTCCGTATCCCACAGCTCCACCGACTTGGACTTCCCCACGTGTTTCTCTGCGCCTCGACTGACGAGGGGATGTTGCCCTAATTCCGCCTCCAAGAACAGAATCAGCGACACAGATTCAAAATCTTGTGTGAATCGACGAAGAGGCGCTTCAAAACTAGGGCCTTTCGCCGTCTTTGAAGAGCAATCGCGGAATCTTGTGTGGTTTCGCCTCTCTCCTTGAAATGGTCTATACTCCGAGCCATCCCTTTGGTCTCCCTTCTTCTCTCCAAGAGAAACCTTGCAATCGGATCAGACAAAACTATTATTACAGACCAGTTCCAGGGACTACCGACCTTTTTCGAATGTAATAAAGTACACCACCATCGCCGCCGACGCACCTACATGCACTCGATCCAAGATCGCCGGAGTTGAAACCCCCGAAAAAAGACCGATGGCGAAAGATCGCCGGAGAGAAAGCGAGAGCCGGAGCAACAAACTCAAAATAGATTTGTGATTTCCGGCCCGTTGGAGAGTTGTATATAACAGGTGGGTCCATATCCCGTAGTTGTCCCTTTTTCAACAGCTGTAGTCCTACGCGCCTACGTGGCGAACTCTTACTGTATGTAATACTAACTACCTGCACACGTGGCGACCGTATCTTTCGATTCTGAATGTAATTTTTTATTCCAAATAATTGGAATGATAACCGGATTTCGGATTCAAAATTAACCCGGATTTAAACCGACCTACCGGAACAAAGCAAAATCAACACATCTATATGTATATTGAGTCCGATTTGAAAATGACTGCACATATTTTTTTTGTTAAATTATTACAGTTGTTCAGAATAATTTAAATGGATTATTGAGCTAAGTAAATTGTATAAAAAAATAATTAGATTGAACCTCTTGCCGACAAATTGTTAGTTCCAAAAAAATTTCCAATCACCTTTAACTTGTAAGTTTTCCTTTAATTTGTTGCTCTTGCCTTATAAATTTATATGATTAAAGAATTGTTATGAAATTCAATATGAATCGTAAGCAAATAATATGTGATTGTTCTTTGTAACTTTTATAATAATCTCTTTCCTTTTCATTGAACATGGTGTGTGCAGCCGATCCACGCCACGGGCGCTACCTTACGGCCTCGGCCATGTTTTGGAGAAAGATGAGCACGAAAGAAATGGATGAACAAATGATCAATGTCCAGAACAAGAACTCTCCCTACTTTGTCGAGTGGATCCCAAACAACGTGAAGTCCAGCATCTGCGACATTGCACCTAGAGGCCTCTCCATGGCCTCGACCTTCATAGAGAACTCGACCTCGATCCAAGAGATGTTCAGACGGGTAAGAAGGCTTTCCTCCGGAACACAGGAGAAGGCATGGACGAGATGGAGTTCACGGAAGCCGAGAGCAACATGAACGACCTCGTCTCGGAGTACCAGCAGTATCAGGACGCCTTGGCTGAAGACGAGCTCGACTACGACGATGAAGAAGAAGACGAAGAGGAAGGCGTCAACGAGATATGATGGTGAGTGTTTTTTTGACAATGAATACAATAATAAACACATCACTGCTAAAATTGGTACTTCGGCCATTTCGTATGCTATTTTGTGCTCATGTTTCATTTTCTTTAATCACTATTTTTCTCTAATGTCTAATTGTTTTTTTGTTTTCTTTCGTTTTTGTGATGTGTTTTACAAAAATTTTTTTTTGGGTAATTGGGTTTTCTGGACCGAGGCCTAGACTAATCTCGGAGTTGGAAGTGAGCCATGTGATTTGAATTATGCGCTCCCTTCCCAGCCTGGGTTCGAACTCGGGGCGGGACAGACGCTTTGCACCCCGTTTCACCGGTTGAACTACTTAGGTTGGGTTGTTTTACAAGGTTAGACAATGTTCGATGGAACTGGACAAATGCGAAACACATCCAAATCGAATTTGATTTGGTTTAATTTTGATCGGAACAGAGTTTGAATCCGAGGCGAGAATGACTAGGAAGAAAGCAAAAAAAGTTAGAAAACAAAATTGACAAAACACACACATTGCACATATATACAATTATAAATAGATATATACACACACATATACATATTTTTGTGTGTATATAAAAATATATTCAAAATACACATTTATGTAAACTTTTTTGTTTTTTATTTTTTTACTTATGAATATAGCTTAACTTTTCTATTTACCATGTAATTTTTCGGTTACGGATTCCACAAGTGAGCAAAGTATGCTCTCGGTTAATTTGAAATATATCAAAATTTTAAATGTTCAAATTTTGGGATATTAATATTCGAGATTGTTTTTTTGTAAATTTTAAAATTCATGTTTTATATGAGAATTTTTACAAAGTTTGTACAATTTTTATGTGTTTTTCTCTATTTATAAATTAATTAGTTTTTCATAAAAAAAATATAATTTATTTTTTAAAAATAAAAAGAGTTAACAGGACGGTATATGAGAATTTTAAATATATTTTAATGGAAGTTAGAAAATAGATAAAAGAAAAATAATAGATTATTTAGATTTTTTAAAAAATGTGATGGTTTATTTGGATTTAGAAATAGTTAGCGAAAATGATATTTTCCTACACCGACTTTATAAAATGTGACCTTTTCATACACGAATTTTTAATTTGAAAAAAAAACTACACCAAATTATCAAATGTGCCAAATTGATACACGAACTACCCAATTTAACTGCAATTTCCTACACAATCCGAAAACGGTGTTAAGTGTCCGTTAAACGCTGACGTGGTACGCCACGTGGCGGCTGACGTGGCATGCCACATAGATTTTTTGCCACATCAGCATACCACGTCGGATTTTCAAAAAAAAAATCCGAAAAAATATGAAAAAAATCGATTTTTCCTACACCGACTTTATAAAATGTGACCTTTTCATACACGAATTTTTAATTTGAAAAAAAAACTACACCAAATTATCAAATGTGCCAAATTGATACACGAACTACCCAATTTAACTGCAATTTCCTACACAATCCGAAAACGGTGTTAAGTGTCCGTTAAACGCTGACGTGGTACGCCACGTGGCGGCTGACGTGGCATGCCACATAGATTTTTTGCCACATCAGCATACCACGTCGGATTTTCAAAAAAAAAATCCGAAAAAATATGAAAAAAATCGATTTAAAAAAAATTAAAAATAAAATAAATAAATAGAAATATATATATATATATATATATGCATATATATTCATATCTATATACAAATAAA